GACTTCATACTGAACGTATGTGCCCGGTCAAACCACAAACTTGACACAACGCTAATCTCTTGACAGTGTGTTGTGGCAATATGGAACTTCTGTGATTTCAGGGAACATTTCTACAGGGTGATAATTGAATGGGTGTAAAATTGCATCGTGGTCTTCACCTTACCGTTTGAACAGATAATTTTTAAAATTTCTTTTCTCACCTGTATCCTCTTGATTGATGCTTTCTCTCGAAACGTTTTCGGAATTTTCAAATTCAGAGCTTTGATAATCGTGTTAGGAATATTCATTCAACATGATGCATTTTTTCGACGATTAATTGAATAAAATTGGAAGTTAGAATTCTTTTTTGAAAAATCAACCTTGTATATATAGTCGTCGGATATGTGATTGTGTTCGAACACAGAAAATTCTGAAGAAGTCTATACACAGTGATTCATGAAATACTGAATGATGGAATGGGGAATAACATTGTCTTCAGTAGATGAATCATAATTTCCTCTGTGTTACTAGAGAAATAATGGAGTATTACTTTGTCATGAGGATGTCTGGTGTCTGACCTCGAAATGGTTCCGATAAAGAAATATAGTGTCGGTCATTGTCGAAAATTGTGAAATGTATAAATACAGTAACTTTTCATTAGGTCTATACAAGGAAATATGAAAGAGACTGCAGAATTGCCATAGATTCAATAAAATGTTTTTCATACTAATGAAGATAACAATAAGTCCTCATGAGGATTATAAGAGGTAATATAAAAGAGACTTCACATATTGGAATGAAAGTCAGGATTTTTTGACGTGAGAAAATCAAAATAGCAATAATTGTAAGTATAAGTTAGGCAAGCTATTTTGTTTCAACAGAATTCGTCAAATCTATAGCAGCAGGTGAGATATTATGAATTTCTTTTGAATCACCTTTTGAAAAAGATGATGCAGAAATGAACATTCAAGAGTTATTCTATCTCCATTCAACTTTACACTGAATGACTATGAGGAAATTGTCCTTCTGAAGACCATATTGTAGGTGCTAGATCAGTATAAGATGCAATGGTAACAAGTATGCACGAATATATGGCAATTCTGAAGTCTCTTTCATATTACCTCGTATAAGCCTCATGAGGACTTACTGTATTTATCTTCATTAGTATGAAAAACATTTTATCGAATCTATGGCAATTCTGCAGTCTCTTTCATATTTCCTCATATAAACCTCATGAAAAGTTACTGCATTTATACATTTCACAATTTTCGACAATGACCGACACTATATTTATTTTTCAGAACATAGGGATTTTCATCACATTTAAAAATATTCTTCCTCATTCTGGGACAATTTGAACATATTTTTTATCGCACCTTGTATATTCATCGTCATCAATAAATATAAATTTCATACTTCTGGAACTACAATCGTAATTTTTTTAATTTTATAATTTATCTTAACGAAAATGCACCATTTTGTTTGAAAATGCGTAGCTTCATTAAATGACCTTCGATCCGAGAAATCACGAAACCATTTCCAGGTCAGACACCAGACATCCTCATGACGGATAACACTCCATTATTTCACTGGTAACACTGAGAAAATTATGTTTCATCTACTGAAGACTACGTTATTCTCCATTCCATCATTCAGTATTTCTTGTATCAATTTGTATAGACTTCTTCAGAATTTTCTGTGTTGGAACACAATCACATATCCGACGACTATACAAACAAGGTTGATTTTTCGAAAAAGAATTCCAACTTCCAATTTTATTTGATTAATCGTCGAAAAAATGCATCATTTTGAATGAATATTCATAACATAATTTGAAAATTCTGAAAACGTTTTGAGAGAAAGCATCAATCAACAGGATACAGGTGAGAAAAAAAATTAAAGGTGAAGACCACGATGCAATTTTACACCCATTCAATTATCACCCTGTAGCAATGTTATCTGAAATTAAAAAAGTTCCATATTGCCACAACAAACTCTCAAGATATTAGGCTAATCATGGGTGAAAACTGATTTCAAATTGGTAAGGAAATTAAAGATTTTTTCGTGGTCGACAGACTTTGGGACTTTCATTGTTTTTTCTTATAAAAATCAATTGGACCACTTTGAGAAATATGGATGATTTCCATGATTTGAAATTCGAGAGTTATTCTACTTTGAATTCAGGCTATATTTTGGACCACGACGTTATCGATGTTGACCAGTTTATATAAACACTACTGCTTTTGGATGGTCCTGTTGATTCAGATTCAGAAGATGATGCAATACTGAAACTCAATGATTCTGACACTTATGAAATCAATGAATTCAATGATAATGATAACCCATTAGATGGTGCTAATATCACTGGTAATGAATTTGTTTCACAAATTGATGTTGAAAAGTATTATACTGTGTTTCATGAACAGAGATGGTATATTGGCAGAGTTTTAGATTACAAAGAAAATGAAATGTTCACTCTCAAATTTTTTGAAGAAGACCTGAATAATGTTTACTGACCTAAATCAGACCAGTAGATTGTGTCCAGAAAGAAGAAATATTTTATGGACTAATAAATATGCTTGGTTGTGGCCCACTACAGATCACAAGATATGATCAAAATAATAAAAAAATATATATGAGGATTTGAAAAAGAAAGGGGTGTAGGTAATTTTAGTTTGGAATTCGATATCTGTTTTATTGAATGACCATGTTTTGTTTTCATTGGTTATATTCATTCCAGTGATAGTCATTAGTATGGTCCCTTGATGGAAATTGACGTTAAAGTCATCTCAACAGGGTACGGACAGATCCTCGTCTCCTCTCACTCTAAAGCGTTTGTGAAACAGTTATATAGTTCCATCCTTATTCAATTCTGGGGATAAACACTAGATTTTTGACATTCGTTGTTTTTTAGGTTATATTGAGGTCACTGGCGTATCATACGTAATTTCCATATGGAATTCCTGATTCAACTATACCAAGATATAGATGAACAATCCTCTAGTTTTAGAGTTTACTACTCCAGCATAATCTCTGCAAGGTAGGGAACATATAAATTGTACTGAAAGCTTATAATGTATTTCACCAAAAGAGACTGTTCTTAGACTATACCAGGGTTGACTGAATTGACTGAATTCTGATTTCAAGCTGAGCAGTAGTTTTTCTATGAGCTGAATGAGCAGAGCCTTATGATTGAGAAATGGTGGAAACCTCAATGTGGGTATCTAAACTACTGCAGGTATACTTATGTCATATTTTCGGAAATCCAACTCGGAGAAGAATTTATGGAGTTACTAATATCACACTATGTACAAAACTTCGTCTAGGACGAAAAGTAGGCTGATTAAAATAAATACGTAAAATATGTAGTGAAATAAAGAAAAGAATATACATTACTTCATTTTTTCGTCTCCCTTGAATAAAAAGTAATTTTCGAATAATTTATTGATGAAAGTAAGGAAGAAAAGGTATGGGCAGTATAACTTATAGGCACGCTATTTTCACTTTTGCATCCTACATATTTTCTATTTGTGGTAGAGTAATAATTATATAAACTAATGTCTTTTGCCATATTGGATCCGTCATCTTGAATTTCCCAATTTTTACGATACAATCATTATCTCCTAACCCGAATACCCCCAGACATCAGTTTTATAAAGAATCGGATCTTCATTACAAAACAATCCACCATATTGGATCCGCCATCTTCAATATCCCAATTCTGACAAAATAATCATAATCTCCGACCCCGGAAATCCCCAGATACCAATTTTGATTTTTATTGGATCCACTATCTTGAATTTCCCAATCTTGACTAATCATAAAGTTCAACCCAGAAAACCCTCAGATATTAATCTTAAATAGAATCAGATCATAATTAGAAATTTCTTCAGCTATATATTGGATCCGTCATCTTGAATTTTCCAAGTTTGACAAAACAATCATTATCTCCAACCACGAAAAACCCCAGATATCTTCCAATTTTGAATAGAATCGGATCATAATTACAAAACTCGTTTGCAATATGATCTTTCTCAACAAGTGAATACCCTGTACATACCTATTATTAAAATTTAGAATGATTTTCTGTAGCGCCCATGGATGTGAGGTGACAGCAGTGTCATTCATATTATGTTTTTTTCCTGTTGAATATTCATAAGAATACATATTGTTTTCTATTGAATATTTTTTTCATAGTACTGTCATGAAACAATGTTATTGTAGTGAAATATTGGAAAATGCCTGACAATCTTGACAATTGTGGGGAATAGCAAGCAATAGGAGTCATGCAAAAACAATTGTGTAACCAATAAAAAAGGTCAGGAAATTAGGGCTATACAGGGAAATGCAGCAAAAATACAAGGTAGTACTGAGAAATACCAGGCAGTACTGGGAAATACAGGACAATACAAGGTTATCTGAAAAAATATGAGGCATATGGGAAAATTTCTGGAAATACCAGGCAATACCAGAAATGGGTTAAAATCAGTAGTGGCAACCCCCTTGCTACTTTGGCTAACAATGAATTCATTCCATACTTTACAAACACACTGTATACTCACTAGGAAGATAAAACAAATGATAATAAGGTAAAACATTTATGAAAGTACCTAAGGTTGGAAAATTACTTGAATTTCATCATTTGAGTAGCTTTATATCAGTATGTATATACAGGGTGTTTCATTACTAATTGTAAATATTCCAGCTATGCAATCCTGAGCTCAAAATATACAATGTAGTATATAATATGTAGTATTATATTATTAAATTATATAAAATATTGATATTTCTATAATATATCCATGTTCCAACCTAATATAAAAATGATTTGATAATACAGTATTATTTCATTTAACTAATGTGCTTTGAAATCACATTTTCTGCATATAGGCTTGAGTTATAGAGAATGATGGATTAGAAGGCTTGTCAGGGATGGATATGGGCTTGGATATGGAAGTTATTGATTTTTAACTTTTGTTAGAGGTAATCAATGAACAATTTGGTAAGATTAATTGTCTTACCTGTATAATTGTTGTATTCTACATAACTTGGGAGTCAAAAGTTGTTGAGCCAAGCTACTATTCTCAGAGCTGCCAGCCAACTTTCTCTTTTTAGTATTCTCTTCACCTTTTGGAGGATCAGGGATTCTAAATGGAACAGACTTACTAGCTGTTTCTGCTGCTGTTATAATTGGAATTTGAATGACAGATGGTTTGTGTCTTTCTGTATTAGATGGCAATGGTAGTTGTCTGTTGGATTGACTAGCAGATTCACCAACATCATCAGCAACAGATGAATATAGAGTTTGGGGTGGAGTTCTTGGCAGAAGGGGTACTAATCTTCTTCCTTCTTGTGCCCATTCATCTACTGATTCACTTTGACCTGTTATGCTAATAATAAATAATCATTGAGCTGAACAGAATACATATAATATAGTACACTTACTGATAAGCTATTGTATTCAACTTTTCATCACTAATTGCTCTTCTTACTTCAGCTTTGTGCCTCTCTTGAGTTATATTGAGAAGACAGCCAGTTTCCTTCAATAGCTTGCGCTTATCTAAGCTCAGTGAACCCTGAGCTCTCAGAGCAGATACTAGATGTGAATAAGCTTCTAGTTCTGGAACAAAAATATGTAATATACATGATTGAACATTTCAAAACAGGTATTTGAATGAAAAGTATACCTAAATTCCGCAGATTTTGAATAGATTCGTCTTTCGTCATATCCAGTAATAGGGGCCACATTTTATTCCCTCAATTCTCATCATCAAAAACCCATTTTGATCAATAGAGAAATATGAAGTGCTAAATAATTACAACTTTTGGAAGAATGGACAGTTTCAATATGGTTGTGGTTATCTTTATGTCAGGTGAGTTCAGCTCACCCTGTTTGTAAATAAAAACTTAAAAGAACATCCAAAATTCCTAGCTGAAAATTAAGAATAAAGAATAGAAGTCAAATTTAAAATTATTCAAACCAAGATTTTTCATTTCCATATTATTTGACATAATTGACACTTGACATTTTACTCTGAATTGACACGGAACACAGAACGAGCGAATTGAATGAATTGTGGCAGTGAGATTTGAGAATGCTTCGAAAACTTTAGGCTCGAGATTGAGATGTTTGTACTCTAGTTTGTAGCCATATATCATTCTTGTATATCTACTATATATATATACTATATATGGCGCATCGCCTATACGATTACTCAACAAAAATGGGACCAAAATAAAAGGTACTTTTTGAATCTTTGAGGACGGAAAGTGAAGGATGGAAACAGCCATATTGGTATTATTTTTTCCCTACGTTGGCATCAACGCCTATTAATTGGTCGATTTCGTTACCTATGGGGACAGAAGTTGGTCCTCAAAGCGGGACCAACTTCTGTCTCTATAGCCTTTCTATAGGTAACGAAATAGACTAATAGGCGTTGATGCCGATGAAGGGAAATAATAATATGGATATTCCTTTCAAATTTTCCATCCTTCACTTTCCGTCCTTATTGAAAAGTACCTCTCATTTTGGTCCCATTTTTGTAGAGATATCATATAGGCGATGAGCCATATATAGAAATAGTACATAATATATGTTTGTAACATTTTCGGGTTGCTTGACAGTTCTTGACAGCATACATTTACTACTCATATATAAATCATAGCTGTCCTTCAAAGCGGGACCAACTTCTGTCTCTATAGGTAATGAAATCGACCAATAGGCGTTGATGCCGACGTAGGGAAAAATAGTACATTGTCAAACCAATATGGCTGTTTCCATTCTTCACTTTCCATCCTCATAGATTCAAAAAGTCCTCTCATTTTGGTCCCATTTTTGTTGAGATATCGTATAGGCGATGCGCCATATATAGAGATAGTACATATATACTTGACATAGGAATTATCATATATCTACTACTCATATGTGAAGCGTAGCTGTCCTCGAAGCGGGACCAACTCCTGTCTCTATAGGTAACGAAATCGTCCAATAGGCGTTGATGCCGACGTAGGGAAAAATAATACGAAACTTGTTAAACCAATTGATCATTTCAGAATTACGTCATTTGACAGGTTGCTGAGGGGTAAACATTGTATTTTGTCAAGATTTGTCATATAAAACCAGAATTAGTGGGATCATTTTCCTTGGAATCCGAGTTGGAACCAGAGAGAATTTCATAATTTTGTTTGGTGAAAGTGTTATTATATTGTGGATGTGACAGGGACGGCCAGGGCAATGCTCATCAAAGGTAACCTAACAGATAGTTTGTGTGCCCCTCAAGAAACCATGTCAAAATCACGTGTTCTAGAATGATCAATATGGCTGTCATCATCCTTCACTTTCCGCCCCTATAAAATTTTTTCGCGTTCGAAAAATAAACAGGCCAAAACCATCAGAAGCATTCGCAGTTCCACAGAACTTGAAAAATGCGTTCTGTTCTGTGAAACTGCGCATGCTCCTGATGATTTCGGACTGTTTATATTATGAACGCGAACAAGCCTAATGATTCAAAAAGTACCTCTGCTGAAATATCCTATAGGCCATGCGCCATATATAGAAATAGTAGACATTAAACATCCGTCTTGACACTCTTGACCTTGACACAGCATAACATAAAATAAGAAGAAGGAGCAAGAAGACATTTCAAAAAAGTTAATGGGTGAAGAATGTGAAAATAATAATAAAACATATTATCATATGAACTTCGAATTTTAATACGAGCAAAATATTTGACAAAAGTGTATCCCAAATCGCAATCCCAACAATATAAAGAAAATGGATTTACTAGGATCTATAATGAATGCAATGGACAAACCTCCAAGTTTGAGTGAAAAAGAAAAATTATTAATAAAAAGTAAGTAAAATCCTATTGTTTTCTTTGGTTGTGATGATCGGTGATGATCATTGTTTTTTTCTTTTTTATAATGTATCTTATATTTCTGAAGAGAGTTGAATTATCACCTTCTAAAAAGTATACATATAATTTATGTCAAGTCTGATTTTATTTTATCTTTTGGAGCGCATCAAAGGGAATCTCAATTGTGTTCATAGATCATCTTGCATACCTGGGGAGCATGAGGAGAGTTAAACTTTTGGAAGTTGAGTTACTACCTCAGATGCCCCAGGCAAAGAATTCTGAAGCTTTGCTGCTCTATTCACAAACAAGTTTTGGTAGAGAACTGTTCAACATATCTTGAGATTGATGACAGAATCTCAGTCTATACTATAATATTAATAATAATAAGGTGGTGAGATTGAATCCCAGCCAGGGCAAGGATTTTTTAAATATTTTGATTATGAATTGAATATTGCAAAGTTTTGGGAGCATGGGCTGGGGATAATCCTGCATGATTCACTGTTGTGTTCCAATCAAAAGTGCTCCCCTTAAAGTGGTGTATGGAGTTACTAACAAAGCCTGTACAGAACACATCAAACTCATAATTTATAACACTTTGGGCTGACGGACCTGAATCAAGGTTGATGGCCAGTTGGAGAGCCAGCTCATATGTACCGGGTGAACAACTAAGAATGGCTGTCATCAATCCTTTTTCCAACTGAATCTTCTGTTAGCAGAAAGCTATCATATTGCAGTTTTTGTTGGTCTATTGAGATTTAGTTTCTCTATTTGATCATATGCATACATTACATCTTTAATTCACCATATCTATTGATACTCCAGATCACTCCCACATCCGTTGTTCACCTGGTACATAGTACATACATACCAATGAAGTATCAACATATACTACTATCTATTAATAATAATGATAATGTCTTCATTATACCATGATATGGAAATATACATAATTAATTTATTCCTTTAGCTTTCAGTAAATTCAAAGTTCATTGTCTGCAATGATTTGCATCACAGAAAATGTTCTTGACTCAACTGAGATATCATGCAGTCATATAATATCAGTTTTATTTCAAACAAATAGTCTTTACCGAGGTGTTCACATTCAGTTTTAATTTTTATGTCAATGCAGATGTGAAAGAATTTTCTTCACTATTATTCTGAATTATTTTATGGAGAAGAAGCTTGAAATAAGTATCCTACTTTTTTCCATCAACCACCCATTTCTTTTCCAATTTCATATGGGACAAATACCAAAAAGTTCTGAACTTTTTAAAATTGTTTTTTATATTGAGTGGTTTGGGCAGACCCAGGGGCAGACATAGGCCATAAAGAACATCTGCATAGTTGAAAATTTGTAGTACTGATGTTCCATCAAGATTCACATAAGGATTTTCTCACTTAATCAGGCAGAAATTTTGGATTAGCATAAATGATTTTTCCTCAAATTACATGAAAAGTGGCTTTTCTATGTCGCTTAACAGGCAGAAAAGGCGTTCTTTCTCTGCCTAGGCCAGGATTGGAATAAATCATAACTTTTATAAAAGGCCAGGGGTCTCTCACTTCCTCAATACTTGTACAAATGGCAGTCACAGTATCTCACAGTACACTGCAGTATCTTGCAGTACCAAGAAGTAATACACAATACTCCATAGTACCCGATAGGGGGGGGAATGAACTATTATCAGCAGCTGGATAGAGCAACTTGATTTTTTCATGACCCAATAGTAAATAAATAGATCTTATACTGGACAAAGTTGAACCAGGTGCTGTGCATATTGATATTTACCTACTGTCAAGTATAATAGTTTATTGATTATATCTCCATTATATACCTACATTTGAAAAATGAGAGAATAGTAAAATATAATGAATAATAATAGAAATCATGTTTTTTTGAAAATCACTCTATTTTCACATCCTTATAGGTGATTGGTATAGGTACTCACAATATTGCTGTCTTCAGAGAGCCCGGAAATTTTGACAAAATACTTATTATGATGCAGGCAAATACAAGTTGTATTTTGAAATTGATGCAGGCAGTGGTGTTTATTATAGTACTATACAGTGTGTCCAAGATAAGGATGTCTATCATGGGGTAAAATTTATGATGATATTTCCCAAAAGAAACATCCTATGGAAAATATATCAAGGTTGTTTTGTAGAACTTGAAAAGTGCCAATGGGAAAGTGTCTTTTGTTTTCCTATATCTCTTTAAATAACATCAGAAAAAATAAAAACGATCCCCATGATAGACATTCTCGAGGACATCCTTATCTTGGACACAGAGTATAACATTAAAAGTTGTTAACCCTTCAGTACTGACATGCCATCTGAGAGACTGAGGTCCCACTATTATTCCCATATTATTGTGCTGCGCAAGTCGATTCTGTTGGGCGGCTAGCTAGCTTAATTTTATTCAGTCACCAACAAATTGTCTTAGTGGATAGTATGTAATAGCAGTTTTGGTGGCAGATGACCAAGCAGACTTCAGTGAGGAAGATTCTGTTAAGGGCGCTCAGGAGATTCCGTGAACCAAACTTAGAATGCATTACCGTACATCAAGACGATATTCTCAACCAAAACGTATAGGAATCCATTTTTCACTGGTAAAGACAACTTTGAACCTAATTGTTTATTGTATCTCATATTATAAGTAATGTAAAAATAATGCATTTTTATGAATGAAATCACTTTCTAAGTACAAGACAAATAAAAATAGCATTTCTTGCATTCAGTTTCACACAGATATTTTAGTACTAATTTTATTAAAATCATGTTAGTACTGGAGGGTTAAACGAATGTTAGGCATGAAGTGGAGAAAGTTACGAGTGCTTAATTACATTACAACACGAGTTGTATGCTATACTTTTTCTTCAACTAAACTCTTTTTCACGAAAATTCAGTATTTTATAAGCTTTTGCATAATATGTCAGCAGATAGGATAGGACAGTGCATATTTCAGAGAGCACAATAAGTTGATTTCATTAATTACTTGAGCTTTTATAACTAAAATTGAGAACAATTACCTGGACAATTAATTACTTATTTATTAATAGTGAATATAAGAATAAGGTACATTTACATAATATTACCTGGATTTGAATAATGATGTAACAGAAGAAGATATGAAAATGTTCGTGAATATAAAAAAAATTGACTTGGCAGCTTCCAAACAGTTGAATGATTCATATTCTCAATATCTCAAACTTTCATTGAACGGCAAGGAAAGGATAGTCCGAAAATCGATCCTTTGCTAGTATGTTAGTCAGAAGGGAGGAAGGCTATCGAGTGACATACTTTTGTGAGTTCGAGGAATGTCAACAGTTACAGGCACATGCAATGAAGTATTGACAACAAAAAATCTGAAAGGAAAGCTCAGAAATAGCAGCACGAGGAGAAGACTGCATGGAATGGTTCGCCTATGAAATGAAGCAGTTGGCAGAAGATATATAACTACCGTATTCTAGTGTCCTTATGATATTCATATGACCTCAGAACAAGAAGTAGATTTTTGAAATGCCCAACATTGCCACATTTGTGAGCAGCAATTTGCGAGGCAATTTGAACTTGATGTTGTGTGAGTGAGGGACCATAGTCACTTAGTTCCAGAAAAAAATTACAGAGGAGCTGCCCACAATTCTTGTAATATGAATTATAAAAACACTCCTGTGGTGCCTGTTGTATTCCATAATTTGAACGGTAACGATGCAAACTCTGTACTAACTGACATCGCCACTAGAATGAAAGGAACTATCGACCTACTGCCCATAACAGAGGAGAAGTACATTAATTAAACATGTGGACGGAACTTGTGTTCAGTTTAGACTTATCGACAGCTTCCGTTTCATGAATTCCTCTATGGACAAGTTAGCTACTTATTTAACTGAATTCCCCAATTTGAGGTCTCAATTCTGAAGCTTCGCCGAATATCAACTTCAGCTTCTAACTAAGAAAGGTGTGATGCCGTATGAATTTCGACTCTTCTGAGCGTTTCAGCGAAACCCGGCTACCTCCAATTGATGCGTTTTATAATAAATTAGACAAAAAAGCTTGCCAGACTTGGGTCAGTACTTGGATCTATACATGATGACTGATATTCTTCTTCTCGCAGACGTATTTGAACAGTTTCGTACTATCTGCTTCAGAACTTGAACCTAACCTGACCCTGCACCATATACGTATTAATAATCAATACGGATAATCTCTATCTGTTTCCATAGCGAAACATGAAGCCGATTTTTGAAGACAAATGACTATCCATAAGGAAACGTTTTGAAACGATCAGACACATACTGCTTTAATTGAAAGGCTAGTAAACGTCATTGTCCACCGAAACGCATGTCTTTGATGACTACTGTGATAGCGCATGGCGCATGCGTATCATGCCACCAAATCCTTATGGATATTCATTTGTTTCATATTTTTGGCTTCATCCTGGCACCCGTTATGATCCGTATTGTTTATTAATACGTATATGCCCTGCACACTAATATACCCCACCAGGATTCACTTGGGACGCCATGTTGAAATATACGATTCAGGAGTCGGAACTTATCACTGATCCTGACATGTTTTTGTTTGTTGAACAAGGCATCCGAGGAGGTCTCAGTCAAGTTTGTTCAGAAAGAAGAGCTCATGCAAACAATAAATATATTCCTGAATATGATCCTTCGAAACCTGATTCCTTCTTGAAGGCTTTGAATGGACTGACACTAATATCGTTGTGACAACTATTCCTGAAGATGCTGAAGGGTATATTTTGTAGATCGACTTGGATTATCCACAACACCTACATGATATTCATAAAGGTATTCCCTTTTGTCCTCAACATATCAATCCTAAGACTGGAAAGCCTTCCAAATCCGTACGCAAACACACTAAATTGATAACGACCCTACGCTTCAAGGAGGAGTATGTCATTCACAACCGAGCCCTCAAACAGGTGTTGAAACATAGTTTAGTGCTGAAAAAAATACATCGAGTCTTCAAGTTCCAAC